CCTTCTGAGCCCCAGAGATAGAATTTATGTTGTCAGGCTTGGTGACAGGCATCTGCATTCTAAGACATCTTAGAGGCCTGAAACATACCTCTTTATTATGAAATTTGGAATTTTTGTCACAGTTATTGGATCATATGTTGACTCTGGAAGAGACTCTGTTCCATAGCTGTGTATGTATGGTACTTCAGCACTACATTTGATCATTATAGTTTCAAATAGCAGGATAAAGTCTGTAAACTCTTATTTGTCATTACCTTTTCCCAAATCAATTTGATACTCTGGTTTCATTATAATTTTATATAGATGATTAAGACAATCTGTCAATTTCTTAAAAGAAATAACGAAACAAATCCCTACAAACCCTACTTGGATATGCTATAGAAAGCTCAGGGCATGCAGAAGTAAGCCACCCAAATAAAAGCTAGACACCCCTAGTTAGCAATTTAACATCCTCTGTTTCCAACCCTGGACAAGAAGTTAAAAAAAAAAAAAAAACAAAGAAGCAAGCAAACAGTCAAGACCAGAAGGGGTTGTGCAGTGTGACACTGGAGCCCTCTGTGACCATGATGCACTACACTCACTGATGTACTTGTTCGTTTTCCTCAGTTCTGTTTCGTAGTTTCTAGTGTAGATGTTTTTCACCTGTTTTGTAAATAATATTTATCTTTTATGTTTTAATGCCTTCCTATGCTAATTTTGTAATCTGTCTCTCTGCAATTTCCAAAGCTTGGTGTTTCTCTAAATTGTATTTAGATTAAGCTTATCTTTATGTAATTGTTCACATGCATAGTAATTTCAAACTGTCTCAAACTCTTTAATATCATTGTCAGTGTGACTCAAGGAAGGATGTACACAGCTTCAATACTGAGGCCTTCCCCATTCACAGGTGTATGAGTTGGATCTCTGAGTTGGATCACTGAGTACCTTACCTGTGTCATCAGCAAAGACCTCTACTCTGAGTAGTTGGAACTTAAAAATGTGCCAGCTCTGGGAGCTCTCTGAAGTTTTTAAAAAATATTTCCCTAGATACTCTTTGTCCATCCTTATGTGATTTCATCCTAAATCTGGTTGGCTCATTACTCAAGCACACACTTGGTTGTCCCTAATACAGACTTAAAGAGCTCTCTGTGTGCAAGGTCCCCTGCAGTACTGCGAAGAGTTGCCTCGGACTCCTTAACTCTAACTTTTGTCTCTTGAATTCCTAGAGATGGTCATTTTATAGTTGGAAATTCTCCTTTCTGCATTGTAATCCAAGGAGTGCTTACAGGCAGAACTCCAGAGTGAACACAGTATTCAGATATGACATGTCTTCATTCCCTCTGGGTCAGAGTTTTCTCATGCCCGTTTCCCAGTCTCCTAAGCCAGACATTCTGTACAGCTTTGTTTCTGAGTGTTGGCTTCCCCCCGCCCCCTATCACCCCCACAGTAAGCTGGTGTCCTGGCTTCACGTGGCCAGGAGTGCAAATCCATTAATGAACATTTTGTTTGTTTTACTGATAGTTGACCATATGTTTATTTGTGCTATGGAGGGCAATCTGTGGTACTATTCATTTAGTTGTGTGGACCTAGTACTGCTCGTGGCTGGCATTAACCACTTCCCTTCCTCCTCCCACACCTCTTCCTGCTCCCAAGAATGACTCCAGCAGTAAGACTTGTAAGACAGCAGTGTGGTTCCAGGCAGATAAAATGTCTAACAACTTACACATGCAGGTTGTTTTCTTCCGTTTGCTTATATGCTCAGGAGACCCATGTCTAAAGTCATTAAATTTTAAATCCTTCCCTGTAAAACATAAACAAGTAAAATTGTTTATGTTTTGCAGAAAAAAACTAAAATACACTCTATATCATTGTGGGTTGCTGTAATTTTTGCTGTGTTATAAGAAAAGTGAAACTTGGACTTTAAATTCAAGTTACAAAGGAAAATTATCCATCAGTATTAAAGTATAATATTAGCACAATTTGCTCATATCAACCATAGTGGTTATTGGTATCATCTACTTATTTATAAGCGTGTCTAGGTAGACACACCCAGTACTTAGTTGGGTGTGACAAAATATACTGTTTTAATTTCTGTAAGAAACTCATTCTTCATTCTTCTAACTCGGCTCTACCCCAGTAACAGCAGGGGTACACATTATTTTTTGTTTGTTTGATTTTGTTTCCAAGACAGAGTTTCTCTGTGTAGCCCCGGCTTTCTCTGTAGACCAGTCTGGCCTCTAATTCACCTCTCAACTGCTGGGATAACAGGCAAGCATCACCAAATCCGGCTAGTACTTGTTACTTTCAGGGTGAATGTTTCTGCTAGAAGGTGTAGACTTTTTTCCAAACAAATAATTAGCATATTTGCTTTTGCAAGGTTTCTCTCCTTCTCTCTTGGTTCTGCAGGAAGGACTTTGAGTTGTGCTCTTAGAGAAGCTGGAAAGGTTAGAGGTGACAGAAAGGACATTTATTACTGGGAGTGAAAGGAGGGAACGTATGAGGCAAAGAGGCTGAGAGATGGGTTCTTCAGATTCCCAGCCCTCAAGCTTCATCACCAATGCATGAATCACTGGGTTTGCTCCCGTCTCTCTAGTTGTCCTACAACACTGTAGCTTTCACTCTTTTTATTTTAATGTGAAGTCTCCATAAATATTAATTTACTGCTTTATTATAGAATCCAAGATTCTAGAGTCATCTCTGCAGAATTCTTTCAGTGTTCACTTTGGCCAGCAAAGCTGTACCAAAGTCACTTTTATGTTAATCACACCAAATGCTTTAGTAAAAGTTCAGGCGTCCCCTTGTGGTCGTTCTGGAGATTGCAGGCAGATACTTCCAGTGCCCTTCCTGCACCTCCTGTATTTCCTTTTACATACATAGTTTATTTTTTTTTGCAACATACACATTTTCTTCCTTGAAGGGCAAATTTTATTATAATACTTAATATCAAATTATCTTATAATAAGTAAAGTTAAATAAAAAATAAATATTAAATAAAACTAGGAGCAAATTTTAAAAGTAGAATATGCAAATTTAATAGGCTTCTTTCCAGTCAAGGTTTGCTCTACCACAATTCTGGGTCGTATGTCACCACAATTTGCTGAGAAAGTGTTATAGGTCTTAGGAAACTGTGTGATATATCTAATGTAGTGTGATTCAGATTGCTCCTAAGTTACTGAACTCAACTTTAAAGACAGTGTGAGATAACACATTTAAAACTCTACAAAGACATTTTGACTTTATTTGGAGGAGGCTGCAGGCTGAAGAATATAACCCTGCTCCAATCCTACCCACTTTTCTCATGTTCTCACTTCTTAGAATAGAGAAAAATAATTTTCAAATTTGATATGAAAATACTTTTATAATCCCTCCCCTCAGATCACTACACTGATCACTACACTGATCTAGTTTATTTAAAATGGTGACGCCCAGTGTGCCTCAGGTTAGACAACAAATGGTCAGAATGTCAGGACCAAGTGTTTAGACCTTGGATTCAGCAGCTGGGGATGAGTATCTCTGATTACTGACAATCACCAAATCATCCTGTGGAGCTATAACAAGTCTGACACCTACTGGTCATTCATGACAATCTCATGTAACAGCTGTAGATTAGTTAAGGTAAAGTTTTGGATGCATAGTTATGCTTTTCTTTTTCCAGAAATCAATAGTATACAACATTGAAAGGAAGTGGTCTCCTGAAGAGCCTTTCAAGCAGGCTAAGACCCTTTTGTGTTTATTTTCGTTCTTTGGCATTTAAAACCAATCTGTCTTTTTAAAGGGTGCACCTGAAAGCAGAGCATATTGGGTGTGAAGTATTTTCTTAGTACATTTTTTTTGACACAGGGTCACATGTAGCTCAAGGCTGGTCTTGAACTCCTTACATAGTGAAAGTTAGCCTTGAACTATTTATCCACCTTCTGTCTGGATGCTGGGGTTATAGGCAGGGCCCACCACAGATAGCTTCCGTGCTTTAAACCATTGATTCAGAGCTAAATCTTTCGTATTGGTTCTCTCAGGTTCTCAAGAAGCAGGACATCTGCTGCTCAGGCATTTCCACTGGGTACTCTAAACTTTATACCTGACACAGTAACTTTCAAGAACCTAGATGGTTCTTTATTATACTTTAGTAACAACATCCTGTTTAGACATTAATACTTACCAATTATGTTATAATGTTAATGGAATTCTCAAACCCTGGGAAAACTTTTTGAAGCAAAATAATCTGCCTAAAAGTTAAAAACCACTTTCAGGATTCCCATTCTCTGATGGAGGGCCCTAATCCATGTATCTACATAGGCACAGCACTAACTGGATTTAGTGGGTTATAAAAAAAAAGAAAGAAAAAGACATGAACTTGGGAGGGGGTGGGGATGAGGGTGGAGGGGTGAAATTGGATATATATGTATAGATATTTATATATTTTGTTGTATATGTGTATGAAATTTTCAAGAGTAAAGAAAATTTGAACAAAAAGAACCTCTCTAAAAAGAAAAGAAGGCAAAACAAACCACCGAACAACAAAATTTGATCAATGTGTGAAACTGAAAAATATAAACAAAAATTACATATGATTTCACCTAAAACAATAAAAAACAAGTAATAGCAAATTGTGCCTAAAGAAGAATCATTCTTTTAAAAGCCACCCTTATGTATTCACTAGAGAGATTGTTCAGCAGTTAACAGGGAACCCAGGTTCGTTTCTCAGCATCAAAATAGCAGCTCACCACCACCCATAACTCTCCAATTCTAGGGAATCTGAGCCCTACACTGTCCTCCCTTGACACTAGGCATGCATATGGTTCACATCCACATATGCAGCCAAAGCACTCATACACATAAAATAAACGAGTGCAAAAGGAAAAAAAGAACGACTCTATGTGAGTGGATTTCTCCTAACAACTAATGAGTCCCTAAGTGTTTATATGGGGTTATTTCCGTATGTGAAAAGTGAACACGCATGGAGTCTATGTTAACATGATAAAACATTTCAGGAAATGTAATGTAATGTGATTATTTAATTTCAGGACATGGCCTTTCATTATCAAAAGCCCTAAGCAGTACAGAAACCTTTCTTTCATGGATGCAATGAACAAGTTTAAATGGACCAAAAAAGAAGGGCTGTCCTTCAATAAGCTTGTCCTTAGTCTGCCCGTGAACGTGAGATGCTCCAAGACAGACAACACAGAGTGGTCGGTAAGCCCATCTTCTCATCCTCTGAAAACCTGGTTGCCACAGTTTACCTGAGTTCCAAAGAGAAAAATATAAACTTCAAGCGTTCGTCTATAAACCAGTGGTCTGGAGTGTCCTTTGATGTTTGATTTGTCCAGCGGTCATTTGAGGTGATGGTCAACCTCTGGTTCCCTTTGAGGAGAGACAGCGATGGTTATAAAGTGGCAATGCATGGGGCAGCTTTAGATACCATGGGGGCCTGCCTGTAGCTCTATCCAAGGACTGCTTGGTCCTTTTACTCCACTCCCTTCCTGCCAGGTCTAGAGTTTCTGCCTCCTCTGATGGTTGGCTTCTTCAGCAAGTACAGCCCATCCCCCAGTCTCCAGCAGAAGGGAAGGTTACTAGGCAGGTATCTTGCTATGCTAAGATGCTGTGACTACAGCCACTTAGAGAACAATTGTTCTCAACCTGCTGGTCACAATCCCTTTGGCTATTCTGCATGCATTTGTATTATGATTCATAACAGTAGCAAAGCTAGTTATGCAGTAGCAATAAAATAATTTTATGGTTGGGGTCACCACTACATGAGGAATTGTAATGAAGGGTCTCAGAATTAAGAAGGTTAAGAACCACGAATACAGAAGAGTTTATTTGGGGCTTACAGTCTCAGAGGGTTAGTCCCTGTTATGGTGAGGAACCTGGCAGCAGGCAGGCAGGCATGGTGCTGGAGCGGTAGCTGAGAGATTACATTCTTACCTAAGTAGGAGTGGGAAGCAGAGAGAGAGAGAGAGAGAGAGAGAGAGAGAGAGAGAGAGAGAGAACACTAACTGAAACTTCAAAGCCCACTCTCAGCGACACACATACTCCAAAAAAAAAAAAAAAAGCCACACCTTTTAATCCTTTCCCAAGAGTTTTACCAACTGGGGACCAAGTATTCAAATACTTGAGGGTTGGGATCTCTTCTCATTCAGAAGTGGGCTAGGCCACTTAAACAGCTGCTCACAAGGATTTCCTTTTTCTTTTTCAGATTCAAGGGATGACAGCATTACCTCCTGACATCAAAAAGCCTTATAAAGCAGAACCAAAGGTGTGCAGGACATCGGCTTCGGCTTCGGCTTCCTCGCCTCTGCATGGCATTTTCTCTCTGCGCTTGCTCACGTGCTCTCTGCTTCTTGGAAGTATGCTGAGCACTCAGGGCTTGTGACTGCTTATGTGGTTATACTATAGTCTGGAATATGACACTCTCCTTTAAAGTCAGGTTAAAGGCCGTGTTCCTGTTAGGCCTGAAGAGAAGGGTGGGAGCGAGAGCCTGGAGACTTTAATCCCTCACACACGCTTCTTCCCTGGCTACCTGAGCGATGCCACTGCAGTTTTCTGGTTTTCCTCATAAAAGTCGTTGTTCTGTGCGTATGATTAATAGAATAAAGTGAACCTGATTTTAACCACTTTGCAAGTTCAGCACATCAAGTGGAAAGAAAAGGATCTTTAATTTTTCAACATTCCGTGTGATTTCAGGTCTCGTTGTTCAACTTGACACTCTCTATCCTTCTCACAAACACCTTAGCTAAACCTTAGCAGCGTTAGAGAAGTTACTCTCTGCTCCTTCTCTTTGCTTATCTTCCTTTCTGCTGTAACTTGCCAGGGTGGGCCCGGGTGGGCCCGGGTGGGCCCGGTCCCCTCTTCGACATGTCCCAGTCCCCATGTTTCTCCGACTTTACTAACAGACCTCTGACCTCAGTGTTTATTTCTGCATCTTTTGTCTCCTTGCCGGGCCAAGCCTGTGTGATGCCCAAGCCCACATCAAAATATTTCCCAGTCTCTCTGGCACTGCCCAGCTGAAGTTTTTCTTGAGCTCGGCAACTGTCTTAAAGAGATTCTGATAAGTGTAGAGGTGATGGTGGCTGCTGTGGAGGGTTCTAGATGGGGTGAGGTCACAAGAAGAGTAGACAGTGTGGGCATGCCGGGGTCTGTGGGTCTGTAAGATCCCCTGACACTGAGTGGTACCCTCTGGGTCATCTGAGTCACATTTCCTATAGTAGACTTATTTTTATATTAGTTAATAAGCTGACTTCCAATATAAAATTGTCACCAACTGAAGGTCTTATCTTTTGGTTCTCTTTGTATTATCTGCTTAAATCTTGATTTATGTGCTATCTTCATCCATTCAAGCTGAATGTTTGGATCATATTAATAAGCTTAATGGAATTAAAGGTTTTGTATAATGTCTTATGTGATTCATGAGAGGATCAAGCTATTGTGTACCGATGTCAATAAAATCAGGTGAGAAACATTATTTTTCCACTTTAAGCCCTTTCTGTCTTACAAACACAAACTATATTGTCATTTAAATAAATATATGTCTTAGAGTCTTTACTTCTTGGTTCAGAGAATTTTTGCATTGGAGGAAATATTGATATATTTGTGGCTAATTTTATTTCTTTATTTGTATTTGTATGGATGATTTATATCAGATCCTATGATTCTCTTCTATATATTTTTTCATTTGAATATTTGCCTGAGAGATATGATCACCTCAGATTTGAAATTTCATGTTTATTCCTACTTCGGAATTTCTGAGATCAGAGGTATCAAACCCAAATGATTTCGATTGGGAATGATTCAGTCACATACTAGACTGAATTGCTTCAGAAGCTTGCCCGTGAGGAGCCAGCCCAGCAGACCTTTCCCACTGGCATTGCTGGGCACAAAGCTGAGGCTATGTTCTTCTAGGGTATCTCGCGACTACATATGAATTCAAGGAATCATATGTACGATGGGATTAGGAGAGATTATGTAGTGAGAATACTGTGCAGTACTTACTATATCCTAAATTGTTTGATCAGATGCTAAGTAGACCCTCTCAAACTTCCCGTGCTTCTTTTTCGTGGTCTTTGTGATGCTGCCTTTGTCAACATTACCTGCTTCCTAAGATTGGCACAGAAGCCTGACACATGAGGAAGAATGGAATCCAAACAAATGAAATGACCTCTGTCTTGATCCTCAATGTGAACGAGACATGAAATTCAGAATCCATCATGGTTGAGGGGACTTTGGATAGTCACACTTTTCTGAACAGGTTCAGTAGTGAGAAGACTGATGCAGTTAGCTGAGGTTGTGGGTTGTGGACCATGAGAGGAAGCCTGGCACCAGGCCCCTGTCATGTAGCCGCCACAGCCACCCATAAATTTGTGGCCATCAGTCACATAAGGGCAATGACCCAAGCCCTTCCACATGTAGAGAGGCATCTAACATCTCAGACCAAGACAATAGAAAAAGAGATGTGATGTGACCATTGTCAAGTAGGCTCAAAACAGTGTTCTCCATGCTAATGATGTACCCAATAGCCAATAAGCTTTCCTTCCCAAACATTCTTCCCTGCAAAAGGTATTTAACCTGAGGCCCACCCTGAGAAGTGGGATATGGTTTTACACATCCATTTTCTGTCATGACAATAAACATTTTGGAATCATAGACTGTCTCTTTTCATCAATATCTACCTGCCGTGTAGAGCCATGGAGAAGATCTTCACCTATAGAGCTACAGCCTAGCCTCCATCCCTACAATAGATATCAAGCAGATTTGATGTGACCCTGATTCTAATGGCTGCAGAGACCAAGGAAAGGACACCAGGAAGCAGAAAGAACCACATTATACAGTCTACATAATCAAACTCACTACTGAGCATGAGGGCTACTTACTTCTGATGTTCTATGTATTGAACATCATTTAACATTCTTATAAGAAAAAAATTCATGCCTCTGAGTATCTCTGTAGAACTGAGTCAGTATAAAAGGAAGTCAGTATAAAATTCATGTGCATTTCCATGAATTCTGATGAATACCGAGAGTTGTCCATCACTTTTCTTCACATTTTTTGAAACATTTTTTATTTATTCACTTTACATCTCAATATCAGTTCCCCCCTCCTCTTCCTCCCTTCTCCTTTGGTAAGGGGAGACTTCCTTCTAGGTATTATCCCCATCCTCACTATAACCCCCTACCATCCCCCTCCACCCCAGTCCATCCATGACCTTGTGGGATGGTGGATCATCTTTTGGGCATATGTCGAAGAGTGGTATCTTGAGTTAGAACTGTTCTCAAATTTCTGAGAAACCATCAAATTTCTAAGTGGTTGTTCAACTTCACACTCCCACCAGCAGTGGAGGAGTGTTCTCCTTACTCTATATCCTCGACAGCATGTGCTATCCCTTGTGTATTTTTTTATCTTAGCCATTCTGATGGGTGTAAGGTAGAATCTCAGGGTCTTTTTGATTAACATTTTCCTGATGACTAAGGACATTGAACATTTCTTTAGGTGCTTCTTGGCCATTCAAGATTCCTCTCTTGAGAATTCTGTTTAGCTCTGTACCCCATTTTTAATTGGGTTATTTGGTTTGCTTGTGTCTAACTTTGTATATTTTGGATATTATCCTCCTGTCAGCTGTAGAGTTGCTTAAAGTATTTTTCTAATCTGTAGGCTGCCATTTTGTCTTATTGACAGTGTCCTTTGACTTACAGAAGCTTTTCAGTTTCATGAGGTCCCCTTTATTGATTCTTGACCTTAGTTTAGTGCTTGAGCCATTTGTGTCCTGTTCAGTAAGTTGTCTCCTGTGCCAATAGGTTCAAGGTTATTCCCCACTTTCTGTTCTACTAGGTTTAGTGTGTCTGGTTTTACATTGAGTTCTTTGATACCTTTGAACTTGAGTTTTGTGCAAGTGATAAATATGCATTTTTCTACATGAAGACATCCAGTTATACCAGCATCATTTGTTGAAGATGCTTTTCCTGTTCCATTGTATGATTTTGGCTTCTTTGTCAAAGTCAAGTATCTGTAGGTGTGTGGATTTATTTCTAGGTCTTTGATTTGATTCCATAGATCAACCTGTCTGTTGCTACTCCAATGCCATGCAGTTTTTGTTACTATTGTTCTGTAGTACAGATTGAAGTTAGGAATAGTAATATCTCCAGAAGTCCTTTTATTGTCCAGGATTGTTTTAGTGGTACTAGTTTTTTTTTTTTTTCATATGAAGTTGAGAATTGAATTCTTTCAAGATCTTAAAGAATTGTGTTGGAATTTTGATGGGGCTGCATTGAATCTGTAAATTGCTTTGGTAAGATGGCTATTTTCACTATGTTAATCCCACCAATCCATAAGCATGAGAGGGTCTTCCATATTCTGATATCTTCCTCAATTTCTTTCTTCAAAGACTTGAACTTCTTGTCATACAGGTCTTTCACTTGCTTGGTTAGAGTTATACAAAGATATTTTATATTATTTGTGGTTACTGTGAAGGGTATTGTCTAACTAACTTATTTCTCAGACAATTTATTGTTTGTATAAAGGAGGACTACTGATTTCTTTGAGTTAATTTTGTATCTAGCCACTTTGCTGAAGGTGTTTATCAGCTGTAGGAGTTTTTCTAGCAGAATTTTTTGTGTCACTTATGTATTCTACCATATCATCCTCGAATAGTGATAGTTGACTTTTTCCTTTCCAATCTGTATTTCCTTGATCTCTTTTGTATTATTGCTCTAACTAGAATTTCAAGTACTGTATTGAAGAGATAGAAAGAGAGTGGACAACCTTGTCCCTCATTTTAGTGGAACTGCTTTTAGTTTCTCTTCATTTCATTTGATGTTAGCTATTAGCTTGCTATATATTGGCTTTATTGTGTTTAGATATGTACCTAGAATTTTTGATCTCTCCAAGACTTTTAACATGAAGGGGTGTTAGATTTTGTCAAAGGCTTCTTCATCATCTAATGGGATAATCATGTGATTTTTTTTCTTTCAGCTTGTTTACATGGTGAATTATGTTGATGAATTTCTGTATATTGAGCCATCCCTGTATCCTTGGGATGAAGCCTACTTAACCATGGTATATGATTTTTTTTGGACTCAGTTTACAATGATTTTTATTGAGTAATGTTCATAATTGAAATTGGTCTGAAATTCTCTTTATTTGTTGAATCTTTGTGTGGTTTAGGGATCAGCATGACTGTGGCCCCATAGAATGAGTTTGGCAATGTTTTGTTTCTATTTTTGTGGGATAGTTTGAGAAGTATTGGCATTAGCTCTTTTTTGAAAATCTGGTAGAATTCTGCACTAAAACCATCTAGCTCTCCGCTATTTTTGGCTGGGAGATTTTAATGAGTGGTTCTATTCCCTTAGGGGTTATAGAGCTATTTAAATAGTTTACCTGACC